CCCACTTTCTGTTCACAGATGGTGCTGTCTAGCTGTGTTCTCACATGGTGGAAGAGAGAAGGAGGCTTGCTGGGTCCACTTTAGTAAAAGCACTAATTCCAGTGCTGAGGACTCCACCTTCATCTCCCAAGAGTCCTAATGTCATCACTGGTGATTAGGTTTCAACTTCTCAATTTTGGGGGACACAAACATTCAGACTACAGCATCACTTATACCCCAATGGTTACTGCCATGTTCTATGGAATGTATTGGATCCTATGGATTTTAAGGCTACCTTAGATTCCAATTAAGATTGCCTATCTCTCCCTCCCCTACCACTCTTTGCTAGCCAACTTTCTATGCCCATAGGACAATAGATTGCTTTAATAATTTTTTCATACTTTACCTCTGAAATTTCAGTGCGGCTAGCAGCTAATCTGATGTAATTTATGACATAAATTGTTTGTCTGGTAGCAAACAGGCTCGATAACACTGTTGCTATTAAATTTAGTATCCAAATACTGAATTTGAGAACAAAGTCTCTTTTGACATTAAATGACATGCATATGTCGATCTTTTATTAATAATGTGATTGAGAACTGTTTTGTCTACTATGTACAGCAACAGACACTGCAATTGGAAAAACAGGTGCAGACACAGCACAGCTGTGTTACTGCATTCATCCTTTACATTGGTTACATGAAAGCAGTGCAGCCCCACTATCTCCTTCATAATTACTAACAAAAAAGGGTGCAAATTTCTACAATACCATATGAGGAACAACATTAACTTTACACAAAACTATACAAAATGGATGAATTCCTATTGACCTCAGCAAAATAGGCAGCTTTTTTGTTTTCTTTTTGTGGCAATACTGGGGTTTGAACTCAGGGCCTCGTGCTTGCTAGGCAAGTGATCTACCATTTGAGTCACATCCCTAATACTTTCTTCTTTATTTTCCAGATAGGGTCTCACATTTTTGCCCAGGGCTGGCCTTGGACCTTGATCTTCCTACCTAAACCCATCGCTGGGATTTGTTGAGATGGGGTCTTGCTACCTTTCCCCCTGGGCTGGCTCCTCACCATAGTCCTGATTTCTGCCTCCTTAGTAGCTGGGTTGAAAGATGTGAGCCACCATGCTCGGCCTCAGATTATCTTTTTATTTGCTAGCAGGGCACAGCATTTGGAATGATGCCACATATGTGTGTGTGTATATATGTATAATATATGCATATATATGTAATGCTTATACATATGCATTACAATGCTCACGGCATACATTATCTATTTCCAATTCCACAGTTGTATAAAAACCTGCTAGGATGACAACTGCTTCTATGTATTAGCATGCCTGAGTTCATACACATGTTCAAATAGACCTGGATAGAACACTGAGGGTCAAGTGAAAATATGAAGCAGAATAAAAGAACCAGGGCAACCACTTGCTAACTTTATAGAAATAAGAAACTACAAATCAAAGAAAAAAAGGGCTCCGAACTGTTTTTTCCTCTCTTTTTCTACATCTGTGAGAGGTTTGTAAAGAAACTTTAAAAGACAATTCTGAACATCATTTGTTCCTGGTAAATACTTATACATTCATAAGGGGATAGAAGAGAAAATTAGGAGGATAAGAGGATAAGAGGAAAAGATTTTAGATTAATGCAGGCTTGCAAATACAACTTTTACAAAATGGCCAAGAGAACAGTCTGTGGCCTAAATTACTTATAAAAACTGTTTACATAACTATTTCCTGTTTGGTACGTTTATTTTCATTGTGCAAATTTATAAATTTCAGTTAATTATCTAAACAAACTTCTGCCAGAAACCAAGGTAACACCATTAATCTCACTGGACAACAAGGAAGCTGAACTGGGAACAAATTTCCTTCCTCAAGGCTACAATCAGGTAATGTCCCAAGTAATCTGCAAAACTCTCTCCTCCAACCTAGACAGGGTGACTGAAACTTTGTGCTGCAAGTGAATGCCTCAAAATCTTGATCTTACATCATCTTCAGGGCACTGCACTGTATGTTCAATCTGAACTCTAGCAATGTAATAATCTTGTTTGAGATTTTGAATTTCTTTCAAGAAAACAAATGGAAATTTTAGTAGCCAAATCTTTTTTGCCTTTGCAGATTACAAAAACAAGTCTTAGAAATAAAACTAATGTTTTAGTAATGGTCTTAATACTTCCCTATCTATTCATTCATAGGAAAATCTGAAGAACTGAATAATACATTGCAACTTAGTAGGCACAGACTTTCACCATTAGGTTGATAGCCAAACATGCAATAATGTCCAAGCAGGATTTTGCAATAATATTTTCTTGGCCTCAGCCAATTTTTAATCTAAACTATTGGGGAGAAGTCAGAGTTCATCCAATGTATCTGCATAATTCTGACTAGCTAACATGTTAATCAAGAAAAGAGATTGTGATGTCCAACTATTAGGTAAGTTATTTGGAAAAGAAAAAATATTTGTCTACAAATTTGTAGGTGAAGTATTTCCAAAAGAAATTATAAATATGTCCTACTTTAGGTCTTTCAATTTTGAATGACAGGTTTAATATTCTTAGAACCTTAAGAACATAATGACTACATCTTTAAAAGACTCTAGGGATTACTGTACATTAACAAATCAGAACCAGTAAATTATTTACCTATAAATTAATCTTTCTAAGCAGATTTCTACTCCTTTCAATTTGAAAGCTAACCTTCTGAGTCTGTACTTCAGCAACTTCATATCTGAAGAGCCTACATCTGTAAAAACATTTCTAATGAAAACATGAAGACAACCCCCAGAGAAGAAAATAAAATGAGATTTAAGTATATAGCAGCCTTTCCACAGTTACATTCCTAACGCTAGTAGATTCTAGTTTCAGGCCAAATAATGGTTATATAACAAAAAAGTGAGCATTCTAATTCTTTGGGTTTCAGTGAAAAATTTAGATACTGAAGCAATTCTACTTTTCCCTTTACACCAAGATAGATGAGTTACATCTTTGTCTCCCAAGTCACAGAGACAGACGGCCATTTGCTACAAAGAAACATAACCATGTTCTAGAGTACAGGAAGTGCACACCGTCAAGCCCAGGCTCCAAAGACAACACTGTAATTGCCACAATACAAATGTCAAATATGGATTTAAAATTTCAAGTAATAATTAAAAACTACTCATCCAGGTTTTATTCAATACTCCCACACAAATCACTTCATCAGATAAAATATCACCAACCAACAACAGGACTACTGCTATCAACAAAAAGATACTAAGTCTAATTTAGGGAACTAATAATTTTTTGTAAAGAAATTTTCTCTCAAATTTGCATCCATAGTACAGAATATGCTAAATTTAAAAGTCTATGTTTTTCTTTTTTATTTTTGTCACTTTGCTTTTCTCAAAGGATAACAAGTCTCTAATTTTACATAACATGAAGGCATCACAATTCTAAGTTTCAAAGGTCCTGTAATTTATATTTGGAATTAAAAGTAGTTACTGGGCCAGGTGTGGTGGAACATGTCTATAACGTCAGCCTTTGTTACATAGTGAGAGCCTGTCTCAAAAAAAAACAAAAACAAGCAAAAAAGTAGCCATTAGTGTTTATTAATTTTAGATTTTGTCAACAGAGGTGCTACAAGCACATTAGAAGACTGGCTTGATATGTGATTTATGCAGAGATATTCAGTGTGAGTACATAGGTATGCAGAGTTAAGGAAAAGTTTGAAGCAAAATTTTTTCAATTGTGGTACAACACAAAACTTACCATATGAACCATTTTTAAGTGTATGATTGGGTGGGTTCATGTATATTCACACCAATTGTACAACCATTTCCATTACCCATAATCCAGAGAACTTTCGTCATCCCGAACAGAAACTCTGTCAGTAAGCAGAAACTCCCATACCTCCTGGTAAACTCTATTTTATCTCTATGAATTTAAAGCAAAATTTTTTGTGTGTGATATTGGGACTTGAACTCAGGGCCTTCACCTTGAGCCACTCCACCATCCCTTTTTTTGTGAAGTGTTTTTCGAGATAGGGTCTAACTGAACTATTTGCCTGGGCTGGCTTTGAACCATGATCCTCCTGATTTCTGCCTCCCTAAGTAGCTAGAATTACAGGTATGAGCTAAGGGCACCTGGCTAAAGCAAACATTTTTAGAAAGCAAAAACAATCTAACAAACAGAACTCCTCAACTTCAATAGGGTGTAGCCAGTCATGCTACAAATCTGTAAACTGGTCAGCCAGGTCAGGGAAGCCTATTTTCCCAGCATCCCAGTCATTGATTTTTTTTTCCAATGTCTGTTTTAATAGGAAGACTAATACAAGTTTTTTTCTTAATTTACTTCTTTATGGATTAGCCAATAGTCAGCCCTTTGTATCCATGGGTTTTGCATCCATGGATCAAAGATACCTGAAAAACATCACATCTGTACTGAACACATACCAACTTTTTTTGGTCTATTAGTCCTTAAACAATATAGTACAACAAATACACAGATCTATGTTGTACTAAGTATTAGAGGCAATCTGAAGATGACTTCTAAGGGAGACTGTATGTAGGCTGTCTGTAAACACTATACTATTTACAGACAGGACTTGAGCATCCCTGGCTTTTGGTGTTAACAGGGGTCCTGGAACCCATCACCCAATGATACCAAGGGATAACTGCAGCATCTGAGGGCCTGCTGATGGTAGGTACTACCTTAGCTCTGGCATGTGCAGAAAATGAGATAGACCTGATCTCTGCCCTCACAGGACTTACCTTCTGGTTAACTGTGCTTTCCATAATTTCCAAACTCTATTAACATGGAAAAAGCATGCAATTCTGGTAAGACACCAATGGCATGGCATGCATTAATCAAAATCTATTCCCAGCACCAGAATTGCTCAGAAATGTTACAGAAGAACATTACATATTTTTCACTATTATTTTTGGTTAATGATTTAGGAAGTGTTAGACAAAAGGACAGCTGAGCCTATTCTTATGAATGTTATGCCCTTATATGGACCTTCTGGATGCTTCTATCATTTAATTCAACATCTATAAAATGCTATATATTATATTCTATAGATACTAGTCATAGAAAAATTATACTTTAGGTTTTCCAATATCTTTAAATTTTAAATATCAAATTTGGGATTCCCTTTATATGGAATGTCTAGAATAGGCAAATACATAGAGAAAGAAGGTAGATTACTTTCTGTGGTTACTAAGGCTGAGCACAGGGGAAAATGGGGAGTGACTTAACAGTACAGGGTCTTGTTTTAGGGATGATGAGAATGTTTTAGATAGTGATAATGGTTGCATAACCTTGTGAACATAAAAAAAAACATGGATTCGTATACTGTAAAATGGTAATTTTTAAATAGTATATCACTATATCAGTTAAAAAAAATCACAGTCAAGCCAGACACAATGGTAATGGAACCGTGCTTTAAAATCTACTGGTGGATCCTTCCTACAGCCTGTAAGAAACAGGTCAGTTCATTCTGTGGTGGCCAAAGACAAGTATCTGAGCACTCTGTGAATGCAGATTTAGGCTGGGAAGTCTATGGAGAGAGCAATAAGGAGAGCTGAAAATCATCAGGTCAGACTAGACTGCTTCCCCTGCAGTTTGTGTTAAGCTCCTTACATCCTTAACCATACTCAACTGCCCACTTCCGCTTGAAGCAACAGAACTCCATCCAGACAGAATTACTGGGATACTCCTGTAAAGAAAGCTTACATGGATACAGTACTAGGTATACTTGGTCGACATGACATACCCTCTCATATAGAACATGCCAGCCTTAGATGTGGAAACTATGCACTTTCTCTATGAAAATAAGCATGAAGATTTTAAGGGTAATTTTATTTCACCTTAAAATATGTGATGAAAATATACACTCCTACTGCATGTGTAATTAAGAAGCCTGTTCACCTACCTACCCCACCACTTATCTACAGTGGTCACACTCGTTAATGTATGGGCACTGACAACAGTGTCGCAAAGCAATCAGCATAAATATGTAAAATGCCACTTACAAATGGTATGGCTGTGGCTGAAAGGCTATGAAAGAATGTTAAAATTTCACACTGTCCTAATTCTAAGATATATAAAAGTATTTGCAATGTAAGCACTTGAGAAAAAAATAAAACCAACAAAGTGACTTGAAAGAGGATGAGTCAAGTACTTTGCCTACTCTGTTTGGTAACAAAATAGACTACTCAAGAGCTTAAATATGAATACAATGATGAGTTTATTTGTCAAATTACAGTAGCCAAAAGACGGCTTTCCAGAAGGTAAATAAACCACACATTTTAGAAAAATCCTTGTTTCTTTGAATCTAAGGCCCCCTCTAGTGTTTGAAAAGTTACAGGCATCACACAATGTAAGTGAAGGTAAACCAGTATTTTACTTAAAGAATACTTTTGTTTGATTCATGTGACATAAAAATCAGTGAGGGAAGATATCTAACTATAATTAATCTTTCAAATTTCTGCTATGATTAAATGATTCATTACCCTCTCATTCAGTAACTTCTTTCTGTTATTTATTGCTGGGATTTTTTAGGAGATTAATAGTTTGTTAATAAAAGAAAAAATACAAATAATGTATATAGGACTTTAATTTCCCAAACAAGAAATATCCTTTGCTGAAAATAACAGAAAAATTAACATTACCAGATAACCTATTCTGCTTTTCTTAAAGTTATTGGCTAACAGTATGTGCTTCCTAAAGTAAACTTTAAACTTATTATATTTGGAAATCAGAATTTTTTAACTACATATATTTTAAGACCCAACCTAACTTGTGAATTTGCTGGTAAACTTTTTCAAGTACTATGTAAAAGGATTTGGAAAATGTTGCTTTGAGGACAAAAGTTGACTGTGAAGAGTATGATGTAAAAGGACTTTAAAATTTACACAGATGTGGCACTGCATGAATCCAAGGACTTCATCTCATCAACTTGTGAAAAAGAATGATTAAAATTGGAGGGAGTAAAAGAATAGGTAAGATTCACTTGTTTTTTTCACTAAAGCTTTTGTGTCTGTTTCCATACTCTATTACAAAGGGTTTACTAGCTAGTACTTCTCTATTACTGAAAAATAAAAAACATCTAATTTTAACAAGAGGCAAAGCAATCTTGAGCAGGAGAATGACAGAGAAGGCTATTAACTCCTTTTCTAAAAGAACACTAAAACTTGACAATTCGAAGTTCTTAAAGCAAGCTTAATCTGTAGTGACTGTATTTAAACAAAATGGCTAATGGGTGACCCACTACAAATATGGCTTCTCTGCACTGATACTGCTTTGTTTTCAAGTTTGTCATTTGCAAATATTACAGGTTAAGGGAAAAAGACAGGTCCTATAAAATGAGTTAAAAATGGCTACATTTAGAACTGGCCTCAACTTTTAAGATATTTACAATCAAATAGAACAGGACACAACATCTTTAAAGTGCAACATATCCTCTTTTGGCTCAACATGAAAAATTATATAACTGGAAATTACTGCAATCATTTCTCTAGAGCAAACTTAGTGAAAAGCTATTTTGAAAGTTAGCCATCAGATTAAAGACCAGGAAACACTGAAAAAGTCATTCAAATGAGTATATAAAATGCAGCTACAATTAAAACCAGCAGGAGAGAGGTAGCATAAAGTAAATACAATCAAATAAATACTATACAGTAACATACAAAATTCAGCTTATAAAAGCTGAAAGTAGCATTTAAAAATCTCCACTTTCCCTTCTTTTGAGGGTTTTACAATGAAATTAAAATTTAGACCTGGAGTCTCTGGATTTTCCAAATGTCATTAATTACTGGCACTGTTTTTAGCCAAAACCTCTCTGATCTGTCGGTCAAGCTCACTTATTATTCGGTCCTCATGATTATACACACCCGTCTTCATCAGAGTATCTCTTTCTTCTATTAGGCGAGTCAAATAGTCATCTAGACCGTCTTCAAATGCCAAGCCATGGGGGCCATCCGTTTTTCCACTCGCAATCTCTCTGGAATCCTGGCACTGTTTTTGTTCTTGTTGCCTTAACCTGAGAAGTCAAGAACAAATGGCACTCTAGCAAGCAACAAATACTGGTTTGGTTTTAACAGCACTATTAAAAAAAAAAAAAAATTCAATGATAAGCTTTTAGTAATATCATCACAAAAAACTACAAACCAATCTACCATCTGACTAGTCAGACTCAACATATTTATGAAAGGCAGTTTAAAAGCAAATTATTTTTCTAATTATAAAATACATCAAAACTTTCAGGCATGTTGGTGAATGCCTATAATTCCAGGAGGCTGGGGTAGGAGTATTGAGACTAGCCTAGTGAATATGAGGTCTGCCTAGGCTATGTAGCAAGAAGACTGTATCTCAAAAAAAAGAAGAGAATGAAAATAGTCTGTAATTTTATCCAGAGATAACTAAAATGAGTATTTTCCTAAACCAAAATGTATATATGTACTTTAAAAATATGTATTCTTTGCTAAAAAAATGAATGATCTATACACAAAATGCTGTGTCATAATGGATGTTTTCCACATCATTAAATGTTTTTAGTTTTGGCAGTACTGGGGTTTGAACTTAGGACTTTGTGCTTGCTAGGTGGTCTACTGTTTAAGCCACACTCCCAGCCCTTTTTTGCTCTGGTATTTCTGGCAATAGGGTCTTGCTTTTTGCCCAGGCTGGCTTGAATCTCTATTCTCCAACTTCATGCTTCCAGTTGTAGATGGTGTAAGTGCATGCCACCATGCCCAGCTTTTTTTTGTTGTTCTTGAGATGAGGTCTCATGACCATTTTTTTTGCCTGGGCTGTCCAGGAACCACAACTCTTCCCAATCTCAGCTTCCCATGCAGCTTGGGATGACAGGTGTCTGCCACTACACCCAGCTAATGGTTGAGATGGGATCTCTCAAACTTTTTGCCTGGGCTGGTCTCAACCAGCGATCCTTCCAATCCTGGCCTCCCAAGTAACTAGGTTACAGGCATGAGCCACTGTGCCTAACTTAAGTATTCTTCTTAGTACATTCATTATGCTCCATCATTAGATATACCATCATTTAACCATCCTTTATTTTATTTTCAGGTCATAATTATGCCTTTAATGTTTGGACTCATTCAATAAATAGTTACTTACATCAAATGGTTTTGAGGGATACTGAAGCAAATCAAGAAAAAGATCCATAGTACTAAGGAACTTATACCTCAATTACTTGTTGAAAGTGAAACTCTAAATACAAATGCCTGCTCCAAAGGGCATGTACACATTAATGTTTTCTACAGATAGCTTTCTGGTTTGTTTTGTTTTTGAGATAGGGTCTTACTATGCTGGCTTTGAACTTTTGATACTTCTGCCTCAGTCTCTCTAGTGTTGGAATTAGAGACATTCACCACTAGACCATGGCTTCCATATGTTTCCAGTGACCCTATTTGGAGGTAAAGCAGGTGCTGCTCTGGGATTTGGGTATTTTCAAAAGGATTTTTAATCATTTTGCCTTAAAATACAGAGTTAATAGTATGCTTAATGTACTTACCAAGCGACAGTAACACCAATTTTGGATACTGAATATATTTTAATTCAGAATGTACACTTAAGATTAACTTTAGAGTTCTCTAATAACTGGCTACAGAATGTTTTAATTTGGATGCAACTACTCCGGAATTCTGACTTTGTAAGATAAAGCAACTGAGCCTAAGTCCCTACTTTGAGATGGTCTTCAGAGGTAGGCCAATGGAAAAGCAAGGCCACTTCTGAATTTGCACATGGGGTCAGGAAGGAAGGACCAGGAGGACTGGGCTGGGCCCACAGAGTGCATGACTATTGACAGTAAAGAGTTTCATGTGTTCAGATGGTCCTCTGAAACATGAAACTCTTATAATTCCTCAAAAAAGAAAATGAAACTAAAGTATATAGTCCAAGTAGGACACCAAATATCTTTATCTGTTTGTGGAAAAGAGCCTAAACAGCAAGGAGCACTATACACTGAGACCCAGGTGGGAAATCAAGTGACTAATGAGATACTGGTACCAAAATTTCCCACTGAATGAAGCAATACACTGCTTCAGTGTCAGTGTATATTTCTGAATAGTTATTTCTTCCACCTTAACTCTTATAGCCATTGTGGAAGAAGGGGGTTTTCTAGGCAAGTTAATGACATATAACACCAAACCAAAAAGTCTAACCATTTCTGTTTTTTAATCATCTATATATGCATGAAGGACAAATGAGGTTTTTACACAACTGAAAGATTGTCCCTACCAAATAGTTACTAAAATGCAAGTCAGCTGTCATGGTCACAACAGAAGTTGAGACCTGGTGGCCCACAGTATGTCTGGCTCCACTCACATACTTCCTGCTACCAGGACAGTTTGGCTTTGTAGATCTGCTTTATCACAACACTCCTCATCAGTGAGGGTTCATGGCACACTACTGGAATCCCAGTGCTTGGGAGGCTGAAAGAGGAGTGTGATTTTGACACCAACCTGGGCTATATAGTTATATAGTGAGACCCTGTCTCAAAAAAAAAACTCAAACCACAAAGCCCCAAAAGTTCATCTCATATTGAACTTGGTGTGCCTCTTTATACTTTTTTTCCTGCCCAAGAGTTCTCTTCTCCAAGTTCAACATCCCTTACTCTCCAAAGCAACTGGGTGACAGGATATGGAGCCTCTTATTCACATTCCACTGAAAGATCTCTGGGTACCTCCACATTGCTCAGAACACACCAGAGATCTTTTTTGCAGTGCATCCTGAACACTGTTTCTATTACCGTCCCTAATTGCATTGACTCTTTGGCAGCCAAATCACAAGGCTAATAGTGGTCACTTAAGTCCAGCAGGGTTCCTTCACATGAACTGTTTTAGTATATTAATTAATATAATTAACATTATTATTAAAAATATTAATAACTGTATATGTTATTTTTAAAAACTTATACAGGGGGTTCTGCTTTGTCTCTGATATATTTAATCTGGTTATTTTCAGTCCTACTTTAGGAAGATATTAGTAAGATTCAATTTTGTATGATCTAAAAATTTGGTAAGCAAAAATGCTCTCTTCATTTAAGCCACCAAAACAGTTCTAAGCACATAGCACTTTTTTTAGCTTCAGTGCTATACATGGCAGCAAAACTATGGAGGGCAAGGACTATGTTTTATAACTCACTAATATACAACACCTTCCAAGTAGACTGTAGACACTAAACAGTATGTTTTATAACTCACTAATATACAACACCTTCCAAGTAGACTGTAGACACTAAACAGTATTTGTTGAAAAACTATGCCAAAGACCATTAAACCCAATCCCTCCATAAGTGTAGTTATATTAAGTCTTGTGTTTCCACTTGTAGTATTAATACTTTAAAATTCATTTTTTCGGATTACTGCTAATATCCATTAGATGGAATTTTGAATTCAAAGTATAAGAAACTACAAAATTTAGTTGTACTCCTAATATTAGTAATACAAAGTTCACATTTACTGAGTTCTGTGTGTCAGGACCTGTTTCAAGTGCATATATGCCTGTTTCATGTTTTTAACCTTCAAAGCACCTCTTTGAGGAAAATTAGAGATGAGATTAGAGATGAGGAAAATAAAGATTAAGAGAAAGATTTAAATACCCTTTCAAGGTCACACAGCTAATAAATCACAGAGTCAGAATTCATATCTGATTCCAGAGACTGCATTTTTAACTTCTGGGCTACACTGGGCCTCTCTGTAGTGTCATTTTCATCTCAGTCACGGCTTCAACAATGTTTCATATTAGAAAAGAAATTAGTAAGCAGCAGCAAATTACAGTAGTCTAACTTATCCAGTTTTATTTTCTACCATTTCAGCTACCCATGGCCAACTGTGACCCAAAAATATTAAATGGAAAATTCCAGAAATAAGCAATTCCTAAGTCATAAGTTGCATGTCATTCTAAGTAGCATGATAAAACTGCAGGCTACCTAGTCCATCCTGCCCAGAACAGGAATCATCCTTCTGTCCAGCTGTATTTGCCACTTGCCTGTTAGTTACTTTGTACCCCTCTCAATTGCTGGATGGACTGTTAAGGTATGGCAGTGCTTTTGTTCAAGTAACCCTTACACAGTAGCCTTTCCTACCTCATCCATCTCATCTCATCATTTCACATCAGCACAAGAAGGGTAAGTACAGTGTAATAAGAAATTTGAGAGAGAAACCACATTCACACAACTTTTATTACAGTATTGTTATAACTATTCTATTTTATTTATTATGTTAATATCTTACTGTTCCAAATTCATAAATTAAACTTTATCATATGCTTGTATACATAGGGAAAAAAAACCAATAATGTTGGGTTCAGTACCATCTGCTATTTTAGGAATCTACTGGGGCTCTTGGAATGTACTCTCTTGGATGGATACAGGGGTCTATTAGGTAGTCTTTTCTGAGCGTGAGTTTGGGGAAAAACTTTTTAGCTTCTCAAAGGATTAGTACATTTTTATTAGAGCACAGCACACTGTCTTACCTTGGACAACCAAAACAAAATATAATACATTAACTAGTTTAAAAAACAGAAATTTACTTGCTCACACTTTTAGAGTCATTCAAGATCAAGGCACCAGCATGGTAGTTTCTAGAGAAACATCTTGCTTTGTCCTTGCATGGTGGGGCGGAAAGAGAGAGACTGAGCATGCGCTAGTGTCTCTTCTTATGAGAGCTTAATCCCACCCTGAGGGTCCCACCCTTATAGCATCATCTAAAACTATCTCATAAAGGCTCCATACCCAAATACCACCACATTGCAGGTTTTGGCTTCAACATGTAAATTTCAGGGGGACATGGTTCAGTTTACAGGTATTTGGTAAAAGTATCCCATGATATCTTCAAGTGTTTAAAGCTGAATTTAACTGTATGCAAAAGATAAATGAATAAATGTTGGTTTTAAAAGGGTAACAGTACGCCATGCTTACAGGCTCAATCTGTCCTATTACCATTCTCTTTTATTCAATAAACATTTATCAAGTGTCTACAACATTGTGAACCTGGAAGAAGACATTATACATTAATGAATTATAATATGATCCTTGCCTTCCAAAATTTTTCTGTCATATATAGCAGTGAAATAAAAAAAAAAAAGTGCTAAGCATTGTTTTGGTGGTTAAAATAAAGACAGTATTTTTATCTATCAAATCTGTAAATCATACAAATTTGAATCTTACTACTGTCTTCATATACTTTATATATGATCTACCTCATCTTTAAGAGATCTGAAGTTCTACCTTACCTGGTACAGAGAAGACCCAGTTAAATGGCTGTCTAATCGGAACTTTTGTTTCAGTGAAACAAATTTTTAATAGTTATACCTGTTCAATTCATTCCTTATATCCAACAATTCTTGTTGCTCAGTTTTTACTGTATCTTTTTCCTCAGCAGCTAGGTAACGCAGTCGCATCTGCTCCAGTTCCTCTTGCTGTTTTTTAAGACGAGCCATTTGACTTTCTTGTTCTCTCTTGAAAGAAGAAAGAAGCCAGACACATGACGTCAGGAATATACATATTTCATATGACTTTGACTTGTGGCTATAATCCTATTTGACAATATCCAAGATAAAGCCATGCATTGCCAACTCTGAGTCATATGTAACCTAGAAATCCCAATGTTTTCTCTAAATACTCTTTCTCTTTGCTATCTTAATCATTCATGGCCCAATTGGTGACTGAGATTTGACTATCATAGGACAACAGAAGGTGAAGGCAAGAAAGCAGCTGCTGTCAACACAGTAAACTGCCAGAAGGGATAGTGCATGTCTAAGACAGGGTTAACTGTACAAAACTTTAACACATAGCTCATGAATCCTTCTACATATTTCTGTAGAAACAAGTGCTTTTCTTTAGGACAGAACCTCAAAGAGGGACAGAACCTCAAAGAGGGAGAGCTGGGTCAATATACATGTCATCAATTTCTGAAAACAATAAATTTACTGAATGGTATAAAATGAAATCAAGGGCCAAATCACAAGTGCACATTTTGCTAAATGTCCACAAAGTGAACCACTCACATATGTGCCAACTACACGAAGAGATTGCAGAATTTCAGGAGCCCCCGTGCTTCCTCCTAGTCACTGACCACCTGCACTCTCCCAAAGACATCACAAGTTTTGGCTATTCTTAGCGCTGTACAGAATTGCGCAATATAGATTACTTTGTGTTGGGCTTCTTTCACTTAACACTGATCTTGAGATTCATTTGTACTGTCCTGTATCATTGACCATTCAGGTTCAGTGATTTTTCACTGAATGACTGCACGTGTATTCATTCTACTGCTGAAGGACATTTGGGAAATTTCCAACTTATTATAATAATATATTATCATAAAATAAAAAGATTACTGTTTATGTCCTCTGGTACTCATTGGTATGCACTTTGATTGAGTATGTATGTAGGATTCAAGGCCAGAAGGTACGAGGATTTTAGAATTCTGCCAAACAGTCTGCAAAGCAGCCTTACCAATTACTATTCCTCATGAGCATTTCAGTGCTATAAATTTTGTCATCACGTGGTACTACCCTTTTTTTCTCATGTTAACAGTACTGACAAGTTGCATATTGTTATCTCACTGTGATTTTATATTACATGTTTCAAAGACCAAAATTACACACATTTTATTATTTTAATGGCGTTTCAATATGTTCATTTGTAGAGTTCTTATCAAACCTCTGACATTTTTCTCTACTTGGTTGTCCATCTTTTCTTATCCTAATATTGGATATTAGGTAATCCAATATTGACTAGGTAAGTCCTTTTGTCAGTTATGCAAATTACAAATATTTCCCATTAGTCTTTGTCTTGACCTTTTATTCCTTTAACAGTGTTTCATGATAAACAGAAGTCCTTACTTTTAATATGGTCCAAATTTCTCTAGTAATTTGACTGGTGCTGTTTGTCCTGACACTTTTTGCCTACTGCAGTCCTGAAGATATTCTTTTTGGTACCCTCGTGAAGTTTCATAAAGATCAGTCAACATGTACAAAATTTACTTTGAGATCGAGATTCATTTTTTCCTCAAATAAAGCTCAAACCATTATCCCTCCTCCAGTGCCTGACAGTATCTCCTCTGTCCATGTAATTATGCATTTGTTTCAGGATGCTTAAACTGATCTATTTCGCTATCCTTACATTAACACTATACTGTCTTAATGACACTAAGTCTTGTAACAATAAGTCTAGATATATGATAGAATAAGTAATCTCTTTGGCTAGTCTTCAAAATGTAGCCATTCTTGGTTCTTGAATTTTCATATAAATATTTCTAGGGCTAAAAAAAAAAAACCTGCTGGGATTTGATTATGATTATTCAGAATCTACAAATTTGGCCTAAACTAGTACCTTTACAATATTATTTCTTCAACAATTGAACATGGTTTATCTCTTCGGTTATTTTTAGGTATTCTTAACTTCTGTTTGATAATACTTCATGGTTCTCTATATACTACAATTAATGTCTTTCTTTGCTCTTCTATGTATTTGACTTTAGATGCTACTGTAAATAGCTTTTAAATTTTCTTTGTCTAATCATCTTTTTCTTTTTTTTTTGCAGTGGTAGGGTTTGAACTCAGGGCCTTCACCTTGAGTCACTCCACCAGTACTTTTTTTGTGATGGGTTTTCTTTGAGACAGCGTCTCACAAACTATTTGCCTGGGGTTGGCTTCAAACCGTGATCCTCTTGATCTCTGTCTCCTGAATAGCTAGGATTACAGGTGTAAGCCACATGGCCATCTAATCATCTTTAATAGAGACATAACATTGATTTTTATGTTAACTTTGTCTCCAGCAAACTTGTTCAACTCACCTACTTCTAATAGGTCATCTGTAAGATACTTTTTGGTTTTCTAAGTACAAATGATTCCTGACTTTACAGTGGTATAAAAGTGATACATATTCAGTAAAAAAACCACAGTTTGAATTTTGATCTTGTTCTTGGCTAGTGACAATCTGATTATACTCTCTCATGATGCTGGGCAAGAGCAGTTCCCAGTCAGCCACATGGGCGGGAGGGTAAATAAATTGATACTCCACAGTGTATTGTGTTGCTAACTTTTGATATTCAGCAGGCTAGATGTACTGGATGCACTTTTCACCTACAATATTTTCAACTTACACGGGCTTATCCATTGAGGAGCATCTGTATATCCGTGTCAGATGCAAATCATGGCAGTCTTTTTTTTTTTTTTCCTTTCCAGTTGATAGATTCTTTTTCTTTCTTTTTTTTTTAGTGGTACTGGGGATCAAACCCATGGCCTTGCATGTGTTAGGCCAGTGCCCAACAACTGAGCCACACCCCAGGTCTTTTTCTTACCCTATCACACTGGAACACCTTATAAAGTTGATAAGAAATGCTGGTACAGGAACGTTCCCTTTCTCATTCCTCATCTCACAGGGAAAACTATTTTAAGAAAGCTTTTTGTAGGATTTATGTAGATAAATAGGCTAAGAAACTTCCTTTCTATTCTTAGTTTGCTAAGTACTAGTATCATCATGAATGCCTACTGACTTTTTCTACATCTATTGGCAGGATATGATTTTTTCCCTCCTTTATTGTTTTAAAGTGGAACAATCTCCCCTTGCATTTATTTAATAAATACACTTGGGTGTGATGCTTACACGTTTTATATCTGTGTATGAGACTAACTGGCTGATTTGTCTTTGTAATGTCCTTGTCAGATCTTAGGATCATGGTTATGCTGGCCTCATACTTTATAAAAGGGAGGGAGGATATTCTTTGCCCATTTTCTGAAAGTTTGTGTAAGATTAGGCTTATTTCTTCATAAAATGTTTACTGAAATTCAAATATAAAGCCATTTGAGTCTGGAGTTTTCCTTGTGTTTAGATTTTTCATTACAATTTCCCTAACAGCCATAAGACTTTATTTTTCTAAATTCTTGTGTTAGTTTTGTTAAGTTCCATTTCTCAGATTCACATATTCTTACCATCCTCATCTCTTAAAATACTGGTGGGACCTGCAGTCTGTCCTTCTTTAGATTTCTGGTATTGATAGTGCCTCTTCTTTTTGCCCTCGAACTCTTTTACAAAGGGGATGGTGCCTCTCAAAGAAGTAACTTTGACTTTGTTGACTTTACTGTATATTTTCCTCTCGTTCGTTAATTTTTATTTCCTTCTTTCTACTTCTCATTCTTTTACTGGCTTTTTAAAAGAAATTTTTAGAGGATTTTTTTTTTTTTTTGCTTTTCCTATTTTCTCAGTGCATCTGTGGTTATAAATTTTCCTCTGTAACTTTTACTAAATCTCAAGCTTTGATATATTTTATTTTCATTATATTTCAGTTCAAAATATTTTCTAATTTCACAGTGGTGTCAAGTTTTCCAGGGGTTATTGAGGATATTTCTTACCAATTCCTAGCTTAATCTCACTATGATCAGAAAGCACACTTTGAATTAAAATCTTCTAAATGTGCTGAGAATTATGGTTTACCATGTAAATGACCATTTAGCTAACCGTTTATGTGCACTAGAAAACAATGTCTATTCTTGACTTTTTCAATGACGTGTTCTAGATATACCAATGGATAATTTGCTGTTTAAATTTCTGTTGACAGAGAAGTGCTCTACCAGTTTTCAGGATATTATGCGGGAACTGAACTCAGGGCCTTGAATCCAGTCCTTTTACTTGTAGTTTATTTTTCAGATGAAAATAAACTTTTTATCTGTGCTTTTGTCCCAGCCAGCCCTAGACTGAGATCCTCCTACCTCTGCCTCCCAAGTATCTGCGAGCTCTTTTTTAGTGATTATTAACATAGTACATATTTTTCACTCTTTCATAATTGAACCACTGTGTCCTTGTATTTAAGGCATATCCCATATGTAGCACACTATTGGGCTTTTTAAAAAACTCAGTCTTTTATTTAATACTTATCTTTAATGAAAGCATTAAGCCTAATTTTATTTAAAGCAATTATGTATGGGTTTAAATCTTCCCACATTTCTACTTTCCACTCATCCCACCCATCTTTTGCATTCATGTTCTTTTATATTAACCAAAGATTTATGTCAGTTTCCCTTCTCTTAAGCTGTTATTTATTTTTACCCCTTTTTAAAAAATATGTATCCTGCATTTAACAGAATCTAATATAAATTAGAACTTTTATAATTTTACAGAAAATGAAACATACATTCTTAACTGTTCCTTCATATTTTTGTATCATTTTAAACTCAAGAAATATTTTAAATGTTTTTCTACACTTAACCTGCATTTAATTTTCATTACTCTTTATTCACCTGTGTTTCAGTGCTTTCATTTGGGATCATTTTTCCTTCAGCCTAAAAAGCCTGTTTCATTTATTTCAAGTTTGTAATGAAAAATTCTCCCAATGTTTTTTTAGTCAGAAGTCTTATGTCACTTTAATTAGTGAAGAACATTTATACAGAATTTTAGGTTGACAATTTCCTTCAGTGTTTTAAGGATATTATTCTATTCGCTTATGATTTTCTTTACT